TATGTAAATCATTCCCCAATAAAGCTGTTAAATTATTTCAACGAGTACATTTTTTAAGGTAATGCTTATAAATACTTATAAGTTTAAGATGTATTACCCATAATACGATTAACAAACCAGTTCATTTTTAGATTTCTAAATTAACAAGTTTTTAGGGCTATCCTATATAATAAAAGGCTAATATGTGCCCTAACCGGTTTGGCTCAATGGATAGAGTGTCGGCCTGCAGACTCAAGGGTCCCAGGTTCGATTCCAGTCAAGGGCATGTACCTTGGTTGCAGGCACATACCCAGTAGGGAGTGTGCAGGAGGCAGCTGATCGATGTTTCTCTCATCGATGTTTCTGACTCTCTATCCCTCTCCCTTCCTCTCTGTAGAAAAACCAATAAAAAATATTTTTTAAAAAAAAGAAAAAAGAAGAGGCTAATATGCAAATTGTCTCCTCAGGAGTTCAACTGCTCGCTATGATGTGCGCTGACCACCAGGGGGCAGCGTGGAACGAAGGAAGGCCCTGATTGGCCCTGATCATAGGCCAGGCCTAGAGACCTTACCTGTGCTCGAATTTCATGTACCAGGCCTCTAGTATTTTAATATGTGGTATACATTTCACAATTTCTGAAGTTTCTAGTTCAAAAAAACTTCCCCTGGCTCCCTACTCCCAACTCTAGACTCAATTCATAAAAGATCAAAATTATAATACACCTGTCCTCAGGTACAGAGGTCCACCAAAGTAGTGCTATAGTTATTCTTTAAGTACAAAAATAGTTGAGCCTCTCAGTTTAGAGCAAAGATGAGACAATTTCAAATAAAATTATTTTTGGATTGGGTAGCAGGCAACGGCTTTGTCTCCCAACTTTGTGCATTATATAATCTCTGAGCCATCTGCTAGTTATCCAAACCTGGCAACAGAGCAGCTTCAACCTCATGGAGGGGTAATTAGACTTCCTGCACCCTTACATTAAGCCCGTCTCATCTTATTTATGTCCCCATATGTTCTCTAGTTTCTGCCCAATGTGACTACTCACCTTCCTTTTAGGAAGGGCCTTTAAATACATATTTTAAAAGGAAATCTCATCAATAGCATTTGCTCTCCCCTACTGACTTAATAGATTCCCCTGAGAAACTATTTACATTTTCACCTGTCCTATAACTCCTTTTAGTACTGGTTCCAAACATTCCCTTCATGCTAACTGAGGAAAAAATTTCTAAGATTTTCCTAACTTAATCTGCTTTCAAAGTAAGTAACTATTCATCCAGAACCATATGCTGACAAAGATTTAGTGGCAACCCTATGCATAAAATGCAACTTTTATGACCTTCTGAAAGGTCATTTTATCTTTATGACCAAGCAAAAGATCAAATGTAAATTACAACAATAATTTTCTTCAGATCACATACTTACACATCAGCTAGAACTATCCGCGTCCGTGTCACATTCTCTATGGTGAATTTGGTTTTTCCTCCTTTGCCAGCGATTCTCCCTATTGCCCTTGACAGGTGGTCTCCCTTTAGAGGCTTCACTAAATGAGAAAAGCAAGACCTCAAGAGGCGAGCCATTCCAGTACCCCACCCACTTCCACATAAAGTGCAATCTTTAATGCAATTTCCCTCCTAACAGACATGAAATATGCATTTTTTAAAAAAAGCTGCTAATAATCCAGCTCAACCAAAGCTTTAGGAAAGTTGAGACACACACAATACAAAAGGACAGTATTTCATTACAAAAGACCGCCATACACTCACCATCTGTAATTTCAAAGGACTCTAAGAAGAGGTCATCCAACCTAATGAGAGCAAGTGCATCCTACAATATAAAAATAAATACTGTGAAGCCCTTCCATTTAAATCCCTGAGAATGAGTATTAAACTAAAATACACAAATTCTGGAATTAGAAAATTCATATTTAAAAAAGTCCCAATTCATTGAAACATTCATTTTGAGTATTTTTCAAGCGCCTATTTCAGATGTCATGAAATCACTCACCTCTACCTGAAACCCGAGAATAAAGGCTTTCACAAAATCGGCGGCTTTTGTCAGGGCGCTAACGTCCTTGGTTTCTTTACAAGTCTGTTTTAAAAGAGGCACACATTATAGGTGGTGATGAGAAAGATAATATTCTAACAGAATACTAGGAATGACCTTTCCCTTTATTGTAATTTTCTTCACCACCACGCTTTCCCCAGTGTATTCTCCATGACCCAGTTTTTGCTGAGGTAAGCACTGCTTAACTTGCAAAATAAAACTTTCCCAACTCCAGAGGTAGACAGTTCCACCAAAATGCTGTCAAATGACTGTACTCCATCCAGATCTGACTTGGGCTTACCAGCAAGATCCCTCTGGCACAGCTGGAATGCACGCACGCTGGAGAACGTCCTCAGACCAGCCCCTCAATGCGTCAAAGCCCAAGCCAGTTGTCTTATCTTTCAATACAGTCTTCCCTGCAAGTTGTGATCTACTCTCCCAACTTCAATCATGTATGTACTGATGTTTCCCACAGCAACAACCCCAGTACTAACTACTGAGAGTGGTGTAAGCAGGGATCCTACCCTCAAAGAGTTCACTGGATAATCACAGAGACAGCTATTCATAACATGCCCACCACTGTAAATGACATGCATTATAAAGGTGCTTTCTGTACTACAGCTCTAAGCTTCATGACAACCCTACATATTAAGTGATATAAAGACTGATGTTCGAGGCAACTAAAGTACTAAAAGGTGAAAAAGGTAAGATTTGAACATAGGTCTGATTCCAAAACTGTTATTTCCACTCTCCCACATAAGGTCACAATCTAATTGAGGAGACCACATCCGTGACAAATTTGAAACCATACAGGGTTGTATAAAAGCAGACCCTGTATGAGTCTGGTTTTAAAACTGGATCCTATCCCAATCCTCTACATGACCTTGAACAAGTCCCATAAATATTCTAGGTCTTAAGTTTTCTCATCGTAAAATAAGGGCGCCAGGGTAGGAGATGCCAAGAGGTCCCTACTAGTATCAAAATTCACTTATCAGCTTGATGACTTTGGCCAAGATACTCCTTTGACCCTGTTTCCCCACATCCATCAGATGGGAATATGTCATCTCCCTAACAGGGCTGTCCGAAAGGCCAAAATGGTGTAGCATGTGCTAAAGCACCACTATGTGCCTGGCGTATAACAGCATCAACAACTGTTAGTGGGACCCAGACTGAGGGTGCTGCAACCCATATGACAGCGAAACACAGTAACATTTTGGCCCTGAAGGCATGACTGGAAAATGGACTGATCAAAAAGGAGAAAGGACTTGAGCTAGACCCTAAAAGATGAAGGGGACTGAGACAGGATGACAAAGGGGGTAGGGAGGAGAGGGTCTTCGTTACCAAGGAAAGCCACCCATATGTATGGATATAAAAATGTTCAGAGAGATGGTGGGACAAACCTGGGACTGGGACTCCTACTTGAAAGGCAAGTTCAGTCCGAAACGTAACTCTTGTGTTTCAGAGACACTGAGGATGCCAGGTCATCACAATAAAAGCAGTGTGGTCTGGGAAAATTAATCTGGCTCGGCACAGGGGACGGAGTGGTGAAAGATGATGTAAAGCAAGGAAGCAAGGGAAACCTGTCAGGAAACAGGAAGTTTTGGCACGACGCCATGAAAACCTGAATGAAAGTGGCAAGGAGGTCTACTGTCAAGTTCTCTCTTTCAAACGTTACCAACTATTTAGAGCGCCTCTCGGCTTTATTCCATTGTTCTAGTCTCTCTGTGGAGATGGGTCTACAGCAGTCCTGATGACAGCACAACAATCCTCAAAAAGACAGATTATAATTGATTTTGGTCTTTGATTCTGATACAAAGTTGGCACTCAGAAAAAGAAGCTCTAAGTCAATTAATTTTGATTGCCGAACCACTGGGCTGACACCATGGGAAAAAATATATACACGTGGTAGTACTGTATATATATATATATATAATTTGTACTTATTTCTAAGATACATTTTCCCCAAATACCAATAAAACAGATAGTGCAGCAAGTACTTCAGCTCATTATTTACAAACTTCTGTTTATGATGACCTCTCTTCAGCTGGCCTTTTCTCAGTTCAACACAGAACATGATAAAAAAAAACCATGCAGAGCATAACATAACCACTATTTTGGTATGATCTCAGGCTCAACTTATGAACTCAACTAATATGTGTGTTAAATGCAAACTCACTAAGTTAGAAAACTGGGAGAAAGTCACTTAACAAAACGAGTCCCACGGAGGAAAGTCTATTCCTGCATGTTCATCCCTGTAAACCGTATTTGGAAATGGTTGGCGTTCTCCATACCCTGATTTCTACATTCCTCGATTTCAAGTTAAAGCGAATCTGAAGTCCCAAATGTTCTACGATAGGAGTAAATATCTTCATCCAGTTCTCTTTCAATGGTGTGTATCTGTTAGCTGGGACTGGAATTTTCCTTGTTTCTTCTTTCCCATCCTGCAAGGAAAGAACGCACAATTGAGATGCCTGAAGGAAGAGGGGTGGAGCTGTAACTTGACAACTGATCCGCACAAAAAAGCTCCCTTTCTCTGAACGAATTAAACGTCAGCGGAGTCACGTCTGCAGCCTCACGATCACCACCGACTTGGCCTCCCCCAGGTCCCTACCCGACTCCCGTCCCGGGTCCCGCCAGTACCAGGAACCCGTCCCCGGAGAGGGGCGGGAACACGGGCCTCTTCGCCGGCCGGGCCTCCTCGGTGTCCATGCGGCTCGCGTCCCCGCCCTCCCCCGCCGCGGACAGCTCCTCCGCCTGCCTTTTCTTCGCCCTCCGGCCACCCTTGCGGGTGACCTGGGTGAAACCGTCCTCGGCCACCGCGCTCTGTGCCTCCATTGCGGCGGCCATCCTCAGGAATCTCCAGCCTCCGCAGGCGCTTCCGGGTGGAACACGTGCGCCACTGCACTGCGCAGGCGCACCACGTGCTCGCCAACCAGCCGCAGGGCTCCGCCCCCTTTCCTAAGAGGTCCCCACGCCGGGGACCTGAAGCAGGATTTTTGTGTGAGTTTGCTGGGGAAGGAAGGGGGCTGTCCTAAAATATGCCGTATTCTTATGGTCGCCTCTGGCCCCGCTACTCAACGCCAAAGCATCTTGTGGCCTGGAATCTGTGTATATGCTAAAGGCAGTAGGCAAAGGCGATACCTAAGTTTGTGTCACCGGTGAAGGAAAAGCTCGTGGGATTTCAGTAACGCATCTGGTATTATCCGAGACAACTAAGTCCAACTGGCTAGGGCGTCAGGGGGCGAGTACGGCGAGCGGAAGGGACAAACCGTCCCAACTGTTTGGGGTCTGGTTTCCAGGTTAGGGTCTGGGCAGAGGCTGAAAGTACCCGTTGGCGGAGGACAAGTCGGCTGGACCATGTCGGCCTTCGAGAAGCCCCAGATCATTGTCCACATCCAGAAGAGCCTCAACTACACGGTGTTTGACTGTAAGTGGATGCCCTGCAGCGCCAAGTTTGTGACCATGGGCAACTTCGCCCGGGGCACCGGCGTCATCCAGCTGTACGAGATCCAGCACGGGGACCTCAAGCTGCTCCGGGAGGTGGGTGCCGGGCGAGACTGTCCTCGCCCAGGATCCGGGGGTACCGCTGGGGGGCGAGTGCGGATTCGGAGTGCGGGGTCTGCCTTACGCCGACGCCTCCGTCCAGGGTCCCGCAAAAGCACCGCTCGAACGGAGCGGAGTTGATCGCAGATGGAGCCGTGCTGCATGCTGTTTCCCGAGCCCAGAGTTCTCCTCGGCGGCGAGTCCATCCGCTCCCGCCCGGCCCCTCCTCCAGCGGCCCCTGCGGTGCAGCGCGAGGCCTCTGGAAGCGACGGGACGCGTTCGGGTCTGAATGCGAAGCCCTTCGGGGCAGCGCGCAGTTCGTGGAGAGTCTGCGAATCGGGGGGTCTTCGTAAAATGCTTTTCCATGCAAACAAAGCCAGAGCTGGCGCCGGCTTGCCTGCCGTGTAATTGCAGGAGACAGATCCCCTAACTTCACATTTATTCTTTCCACAAGTGTCAGTTGACTGCCTGGTATTCCCGGGCGTGTGAATGACAGTGTCCCCAATCTCAGGGGGAGAGAATCGGTCAAATAATCACACCAACAATGCGTCAGTGCAAACCAAGATGAATTCTCAAACATGAAAGAACACGGTGCTGTGAGAGTAAGAACAACCCCCTCTCTTCCTCGCTGAAATCAATAGTAGAAACTAACGAGGCCGCACTGAGTCAAGGACGAGGTTTCCCTGGGAAACGGCCGATGCGGAAGCTCAGCCACGGGAGAAAGTCTCTTCTTAAGAAACAGGAGTGGTAAGCAGGGACCAAACGTTGCAACACCTATACATACATCACATAAAGTTTATGCCTGTCGCCCCCTGAGAATAACAGCATCATTGAAGGGCTTTAAGCAGTGTGTGGCTTGATCACGTTTACACGTTTTAAAAAGATCAGCAGTGAACGAATTTAAGAATCATGTTAACTAACGTTTTTTATACCTGTTTACCGTTTTAAAAAGCGCCTTGATTTGGGTTACCTGGACAAAATGATCATGCTCAGGCGTGTAGGGTTGTCATAGGCTGCGCAGCGGTTCTCAACCTGTGGGTCGCGACCCCTTTGGCGGTCGAACGACCCTTTCACAGGGGTCACCTAAGACCATCCTGCATATCAGATATTTACATGACAATTCATAACAGTAGCAACATTACAGCGATGAAGTAGCAACGAAAATAATTTTATGGTTGGGTCACAACATGAGGAACTGTATTTAAAGGGCCAGAAGGTTGAGAACCACTGGACTACAGGGAAGGTTGACAGCTCCGGGGATCAAAAGCTATAAAGAGAATCTGCTTGGAGGAGTCGGAGGTTAAACTGGTAAGTAAAGGATGAATGTAGTTTCGATAGGAAGCTTAGATTAGAAGGGCCCCATCCCACTTTAAACGTCTGTGAGTGTCAGTTTTCTTGTTCAGTTTGTCTTCTCTAGTCAGGGACTCAGTAAATGTGGCTTGTTCTTGTCTCTGTTTCCTTAAGTTGCTCACCACTCGCCCCAAGTCACCGGTTGCTGTTGTAAGGTCCAGTTCAGATGATTTGATTTCTGGAGTCCCTTCCCGATCCCCACGCAAAGCAACCTTTCTTACATTGCGTTCCTGTGGTATTTACTCTCTGGGCCTGAAATACATCATTCTGTTCCATTTATCTCTAGATTGTAAGCTCCTGGAGAGAAAGAATGGTGTCTTTTTTAAAAAAATATTTTTTTATTGACATTTTAGAGAGAGGGAGAGGGCCAGAGGAAAGACTGAGAGAAACTTTAGTGTGAGAGCTGACCATCACTGGGTTGCCTCCTGCACGCCCCCTACTGGGGATTGAGCCCGAAACCCTGGCATATGCCCTGATCTGGAATTAAAACCAGTGCAAGGGACGACACCCAGCCAACTGAGCCACACTGGCCAGGGCAGTGTCTTTCTTTAATATGGTATGTAAGGAGCAGTAACTCAGTAAATTACTTATTAAAAGAATGAGTAAATGTATGTCTGTAAAGGATATAACTTGGGTATTTTATTTTTTCCCTTTAAATTTTGTTTTGTATTGGTTTCAGGTGTACAGCTTAGTGGTTAGATAATCATACACTTTACTTAGTGTAACTTGGGTAATTTAAATATTAGTTTATTGATTATACGATTGGGATCGGGGTCTAAACAAATGGGAAACATTAGAATAGCACAGAGAAATTTAAAGGTGAAGTATTAGAAACAAATACCAGCCAAAGCTCAACCAGAGAGCATCTCCAGACTTGACTTCTTTTTTTTTTTTTTAATGTATTTCTTTATTGATTTCAGAGAGGAAGGGAGAAGAGAGAGAGAGATAGAAACATCAATGATGAGAGAATCATTGATTGGCTGCCTCCTGCACAAGCCCTACTGGGGATCGAGCCCACAACCCAGGCATGTACCTTTGGCCAGGATCGAACCTGGGACCCTTCAGTCTGCAGGCTGACGCTCTATCCACTGAGCCAAACTGGCTAGGGCTTGTGACTTCTTTTTTTATAAGACTATGATTTGTATACATTGTAGGAATACACTTGTTCCAAAAGTGAAATAGTGCTCTTTGGTCTTTTCTAGAGTTTCTAGAGGATTCTAATGAGTTTTTCAAATAAATTTGCTTTTTAGCAAAAGTAATGAGTTAATGATAGAACATTTCAGAAATATACAGGGTGACCTCAAAAGTGTATACACACTGTGAATAATTATAAAGGCAGTGTTTATTAAAATACATTTCATTTTCAAAATGTAATAGAATCAGCTGTTAAAGTGTCTATATTTTTTTTTGGTGGGGGGGGACATTCTGTAGATAGGAACAGAGGAAAATTAATATCATCCGTGATCTTATATTTGACCTGTATCTAAGGACTATTCTGAAGAAGGACCAGAACTATTTAATTAATGAGTTCTTTCTCCTAAAGAGCCTGCTGTCTAAAGAGAATAAAACAAATGGGAAAACATTTAAGAATTTACCTTGTATTTGGATGTGATGATGCACTGGGAAAGAATATAGATTAAGTACATGTTCAGTGATTCTCAACTCTTAACGTGTATTGTTGCTGTTTGTGTGTGTGTTTTAAGATATTCATGCGTTGGTCCCACCCTTAGAAGTTCTAGTGCACTGGGACTCTTGCATTTAGACTAGGGTGAGGTCTGGACATCAGTATTTTTTTCAGCTTCCACCAGATGATTCTAATGAGTACCAGGGTTGACTTCAATGGGGCTAGAGGAATTATTTTATTACAATATTAGGTTGAAGACTTGATTCTATCATTGTGGGACCACCTCAAATCAAAGCCTGTGCATCCAAGACAAATAGGAAGGAAGACAATGAATCTTTGTTGGTGCCTTCCTTAGCTTGTTATTAAAGATTAATGGGAATGACAGCAAGGCCTCCATACACAGTTGAGCAGTTAGTTGCATCACCCATGGATGTCTGGCCAACAGTACGAGAGCTGAAATCTACCTCTTTCATCAAGCCTTACCCGTGAGACTTCATCAGCCTGTAAAAGGCACCTTTTTTCTAATTGGCACAAAGGACTAGGGGTAGTCCTGAAAAATGGCAATATAGTTGGGGATGTTTACACTTTAAAATTTAGTAATGAGCTAATACAGCTCTGCTTTTTAGCCCCTGTGGCACTGAATTCACTGCTTGTTAGCATTTGGTGGCTAAACCTTTTAATGTTAATTAAGTAGTGCCAGGATGTGGAGGAGGAAATACTGACAAGCTGTACTAGACCCACCCACAGACAGAACAAAAATATCTCTCACTAGAATTATCTATCATGGGCTTCTTTAATCATGTTAAGTTATTGTAGCAAAGAGAACCAACATCTGGGTCAAATACGACCATCATGGATGGTTACTTCCACTACCATATAGCAAAAGTTAATATATACTAACTAGAGGCCAGGTACATGAAATTCGTGCATGGGTAGGGTCCCTAGGCCTGACTGGCGATCAGGGTGGATCAGGTTCCCTGCCTCCCCGCCTCTTCCTTCCCTTGCTCCCTCAGCGCCCTGCCACCACCACTGGTTGCCCACCATTGATCATGCTGCCCCCTGGTGGTCAGTGCACATCATAGCAAGTGATCGAACTCCCGAGGGGACACTTTGCATATTTTTCTTTTATAGATAGACAGATAGATAGAAAGATAGATAGATAGATAGATAGATAGATATGAGGCAGCTTCCCGTGGCCTTCTAACCCTCTGAGTTCCTGGCACCATATTCTTGCCCATTAGGGCCCACCTACTTCTTACTGAGAGGGCTGTCTTCACCCTCTACCTCAGACTGTGGTAGAGGGCCATTACCCATGATTTAGAGCTGGGGAGACCCAAGCCCACTGTGAAATAAGTGGGAGGAGGGAGTGTGGAGCTGTTTCACCAGTTGGCATAAGCTGGAGCTGTGGATTAGTTTAACCATAGAAATTGTGTCCTCACATTCATTAGGTGTTGCATCACTATTACTATACTAGAGGCCCAGTGCACGAATTCGTGCACCAGTCAGGTCCCTCGGCCTGGCCTGCGGGATCAGATCGAAACTGGCTCTCCAACATCCCCCAAGGGGTCCTGGATTGCGAGAGGGTGAAGGCCAGGCTGAGGGACCCCACCAGTGTGTAATCGCGGCCGGTAAGGGAAGCAGGAGGTTGGCCAGCCAGGGAGAGACTGTGGGAGGGCTCCAGGGCATGTCCGGCCCGCCTCAGTCCCAATCAGCCAGACCCCAGCAGCAAGCTAACCTACCAGTTGGAGCATCTGCGCCCTGGTGGTCAGTGCACGTCATAGCAACCAGTTGAGCAGCCTTAGCATATCATTAGCATATTACGCTTTGATTGGTTGAATGGCCAACTGGACACAGCCCATTAGGCTTTTATTATATAAATATAGGATTATTTCAGGTACTTTTATTTGAAGGAAGGAGCAGGTGGGGAGGACGCACGTGATTTGAAAACTGACTCCTTTGTTTATTGACAAACATTTTGATTCTCGGTATTATCCCATTGTAAGATACTCTTCTTCATAAAATTGGAAAAATAACTGAAATAATATCAATCTAATACAGTGAATAACTGATGTCATCTTGGACAGCCTATGCATTAAAAAGAAAAACAATTAACATTCTGTGGTTCTGTGCTTCTCATCAGTATGGTCCTTTACAACCATGTTATTGTAGATGACTGGTTGTTTTTTTTTAATCTTTATTGTTGAAAGTATTCCATATGTTCACTTTTTTCCCCCATCGACCTCCTCCAGCTAGATAACTAATTTTGTTTAGGACAGTTCCAGGGAGTCTATGAATGCTTTGTTTTATACCTGGCTACACAGTAGCTGCCAATTTATCCCGATCCCAAGCCATGAGAAAGCTCAACAAGCTGAGGATTTCCAAAGCTTTGTACCATATAACGATGTCTTTTTAATCATGAAAGAAAAGTTTATAGTTTGTGTGAAGTGAATTTTCTTTTCTTTTTGTTTGTAAGTTGCTCTGTAAACCGTATATGGAAATGCCCAGCCAAACGTTGAAAGTGGCAGGGAAATTATTTTTTAAATTGTGTGAAGCAGGCCCACCTTAATGGGAGGGATGAAGATTGGCACAGGAACTGAAGGTTTTACAAGGGGAGGTGCCCTAGCAACTGGAGAATTCTGTGTA